TAATAATTTATTTAAATAATAATTCATAGATACATAATTTTATAATATGATTATTTTATAGTAAAAATATTTTTAAAATATGAATTATATGTATACATGATATAGTAAAATAAAGAAATAGTTGTAGTGTCTACATATCAATTTACATTTTTAAGGGAAATTTTAACTTTATTATTATTATTATTATTATTATTATTATTATTATTATTATTCTGGACTGGGTCCAGACCTGCCCATAGTCGGGGAGGCCCAGCCCAACGTTGTGTGGGGAAGGTTCAACAAGGCTCAAATTCCCCAATGTCGGGCACGTATATAGATACGCGGGACATATGTCTTTTCCGTCAGGCAAAACAACACGTCTTCCACACGTTCTCCACAAGCTCCCCCAGCGGGGACACGTCATCAGACAACTACCCACCTCCGAAAGAGCTGGTCAACCCATATTTCAGAGATCACGGGACGATTGAAATAGGGCGAAGACCACGTGCTGGTCTTCACTACGCCATGTAAGTCATATCAATCACTTGGGTTGGGCCTAGAAATCAAGTCCAACACAAGTGACCGTTGGCCCTGTGCTGGGGTCTCACTATAAATATTCTATTTCATTAGAGGGTCAGTTGACACTCTTCAACGAGACACTCAACCCACGACTTGTGAGGATACTTTCGATATAAGTAAGTCTTCAACGAGACACTCAACCCACGACTTGTGAGGATACTTTCGATATAAGTAAGTCGGTCCCTCACTCGAACCAAAGGCTCTGATACCATTGTTAAGGGAAGATTTTCACCAGGGAGCATCGAATATCGTGAAATTTTTCATTCTTGGAGCAATACCTTTATGAGAGACACATCACATACTCACTCAAAACCTTAAGGTGATAGGTGTATGGGTTCATCTCACTTATAAATGTTCAAGTCATCACATTCCTATCCAATGTGGAACTATTATCCACACTACTCACACTTGTTAATACTTAACACTCCCCTTCAAGTGTGAGTGTATCTACAATATTTCTATAATGCTCCCTCTTAAGCGGAAGCTTCAACTGTGCAACTACGCCCTTGTACCGCCGTTGACACTCTTCAACGAGACACTCAATCCACGACCTGTGGGGATACTTTCGATATAAGTAAGTCGGTCCCTCGCTCGAACCAAAGGCTCTGATACCACTGTTAAAGGAAGATTTTCACCAGGGAGCATTGAATATTGTGAAACTTTTCTTTCTTTGAGCCATACCTTTGTGAAAGACACACCACATACTCACCCAAAACCTTAAAGTGATAGGTGTATGGATTCATCTCACCTATAAATGCTTAAGTCACCACATTCCTATCCAATGTGAGACTATTATCCACACTACTCACACTTGTTAATACTTAACACATCCTACATCACATTTTTTATATCAAGGATCTTGGAGATCTAAAGTATTGGGTTTGGAAGTGGCAAATAGTAATTCTGAAATCAATATATCTCCCATGTCAAGAGATACAATATTATCCACAACTGAAGGCACACCCTTTGAAGACGGTACTGCTTACCGGAGGCTTGTAGGCCAACTAATTTATATGTTGAATACTCGTCTAGATTTAGCTTATTTTGTCCAAAAACTGAGTCAGCACATGAGTAATCCCACTAACCTTCACCACAAGGCAGTTATTAGCGTTTTACGTCTGAAACATCCACCATCCCAAGGCTTATTCTTTCTGCTACTATTCAACTCAAAGCTTTCTCCAATTTTGATTGGGATATATGCCTTAATACCCGTAAATTTGTTATTGGTTACTGCATATATTTAGGCGACTCGCCGATTTTCTAGAAATCCAAAAGGTAATCAACAGTCTCACAGTTCTACTGAACAGAATATCGTGCCATGACATCAACAGTCTGTGAACTTCAATTGCTCACCAACATTCTCCAAGAACTTCAGTTTTCATTAACACATTACCGCTACGCGAAAAATGCACAGAGTCACTATGGAAATTTATTTATTCTGAAGAAAGAGAAAATATTGATAAAACCCCATAAAATTGAAGAATATGGTATCACAACCAAATTCCGGTTCGGAATTCAGTTATGTAAGGGAACCATCTAGGTTGTCTAAGCACGAATAAGTGTTATTATCTAAAGGTTACTTGCTAAAGGGGAAAATGTGAGTTTTTTTTATTAGGGTGCTTACCAAGGATTGAGGCTTTCGTGCCTACTACAATGAGGAATCAGAGCTCCATAGTTCAGAGGAAAATAAGTGTGTTGGTTGATTTTACCTTGAAAAAGTGTTTTCGGGATGATACCCTAAGGCGCAAAAGAGAGTTTGATAAGTTAAGGTATGACACATACCATATTTGTTGTATTGTGATATTGATTCTTCCTGACATATTGCTAACAACTCTTCCTTCCACAAACACACAAAACATATCGATTTAGGTTGTTATCTTGTTTGTGAAAAGTTACAACTAAACTTATTTGATTTACTTTCTGTGTCTTTTTTCCAACAGGTAGCAGACATCTTCACAAAACTCTTAGACTACAAACTTTTTCATTCTAACTTTTCTAAGCTTGGTGTTGAATTCATTTACCTCAAGCTTAAGATATGCTATTAAAAACCTATTATGCCTAATTTTCCCTTCCTATTATCTAGCTATTAGTTTATTTTTAGGCCTTGGTTAGTTAGTTTATTTGCCTACTTTTCAGGCCCACTATTCATATAAATAAATTATTAGCTTAGAATTCTGAATGTAACAAATACTCGTATTTTCTTTCAATAAAGATTTCAGAAGCCTAATGAGTCTTTTATTTTGCATTTATCCATTGTAATATAAGCATCCATCATAGTGCAAACATGAGACAAGAGGACAATTATTAAAAAAAAAAACTATAAAGGAGAATATAAAAAATATTGTGTTAAAGATGTAGAGAAATTTGTTTCTCTCAACTTTTTTTTGTTGTATAATATATTTTGCTTGTCTTAGTTGCTCCCAAAATTTCTGAAATACCACATTTGTTTAAGGAAAAGAATGCTGCATGAAGAATTAGAACATGATTGTCATGTTCTTTCAAATTGTTCTTGTCTAGTGAAGTAATCTTGTGACGCACTACGTAGTTTAAAGAAATTTAAGAAAGAAGATGAGTAAGCTAACTAGATAACTTGGCCTCAAATTGAAAGCTGATGAAAAGCATGGTCAAACAAATGTAAAGAGCAGAACATGGTAATGCATTATTGAATCTTTTCTAACATTATGGAACAACATATTTACACATAGAAAAGTTGAAAAACAAAGAATTGTTATAGAAAAACAAAAAATATATGAAAAATGAGATCAAAGAGCAAAAAATTCATTCACTGTTTCTGCAAGAGCTTTTTGAGTAAGACAATAGAAGTTTTTCAAAATTTGACATATATCTGGTATCTTAAAGGGGTGGATAGGAAACATGAGGTATCTTGAAACTGTTGTGCACTTTAGTAGTGTCAAAAAGCTGCTAAGTGGAATTACAAAGGTGAAGAAATTGAGGTTGATGGTGTAAAGTTGAAGAGGACTATACCATGAGTTTGTAGGAAGATGTTCATAGCTAGAGGACTATACCATGAGTTTGTAGGAAGCTATACAGAACTGGTAGAATGAATTCATTTGAGAATGAAATCTGTGTAAGACAATAAGATTTCTTTGGTTGAACGAAGAATTCCAAGCCACTATTGTATCATTGAAGAAAAAAGTGTGATAGATGTTTTTAAGTCCCACATTGTTTATAATAAAGCATTTGTAACAGTTTATAGACTTTGGATATGCAACCTTGTTTGCCGAGTTGAGTAACTTCAGCTTGTAACCCAAGTGGGGGCTTCAAGGTGATGGAACATGGCTGTTGCTTAGCGGGTTGGGCTGGTTTGTGCATTATGCTGGCTTGCCCACTCCAAGTTGAGAGTTGGGCCATGTGGTTTGGGCGTAGGCCTAGATCACATGGTCTTTAGAATGGTGGGAACCGCATGAGGCTGGCCTAACAGAGCAGTGAGAACTTCCTGCTCTTGACAGTGGAGGGACAACAGGCTGCAGCACTCTCAGCTCATATGGCCAGCTAAGCCTAGCCCATGAACCATCACTTTTTTGGCCCTAACTTTTATGTTTTTGATCTACATTAAGTTGTTCTTTTTATACCTTGTGAATATTTTAACAATTACTAAAAGAGCATTTTCACCAATGGCACATAAATCATACCATTCACGTAAGTTAATTAAAATGCAAAGTGAAAATGAAGGGGGCAACATGACTTCTTTCTGTGTATATGATTTCTAATACTTTGGTTTTTACCACAAATTCCCTTGTTAAGAATAATCATTTCTTAATCTTTTTAAGAGAAAATATACTTGCTACCACGAATGTGATATAATTAAGTAGTATTATTAAGTACTCCGAATTGGCTCAGCGATTCAAAATTATTACATTAACTTGCTACTCCTCAATCTTTCATTTAGTGTCAATTTATAAGAGATATACGCACAAAAAATAGTTAAGTCTATTAGCATAATCCACTTATTAAACTAGTAAAACTCACTTAAGAATTATGTCAAGATATAATTGTGTAGGGGACAAAACAAAAAGAAAACGGAACCTTCACACATTATAGTATTTATATATATATATAACAAATGGGGCAAGGAAAAGAAAAAAAAAATGCCCTTCAACGAGTAATAAAGGGATAACACGAATTCAAAAGTTTACCCTTTGTCTTGGAAAAAAAAAGGGAACACCACTATATAACAACCCAATCATGTTCCGGTTCACTCCAATTTTTTTGGGGTGATATGAAAATACACAAAAGACATGATGATACACAATATTTTCCCCTCAAACCTCGTAACAAAAAGTACAACCAAAACACCAGGGAATATGGAGCAAGGCTTTTGCTAGCACACATGTTGACAGCCCAGCAGTTGAAAATTAATAGAAGTGACATCTGCAACCCAAAGACGATGTCGAAGCACACATAGCACTTACATTCCAGCCCTAGAAGCAAGACGGTAGTGCAGGCCCATGGCAAACAAAAGCCAACACACCATATGCTATCAAAAGTAGGACGACTATAAGAGCAATCCTGCAACATAAAAAGCATTTAGTCAGTGATTTAAGACATTAAAAAAACTGAAATTGCTTAACTATAACGGCATCATCCGTGTTTTTCACAATATTAAGAATCATGACATAACTGTGATCATGGCCACAATTTGAAACCTTGGATGGAATACAAACAACTCTCCAACACTGACAGTTTGTGAGTACATATATAAATAATGACAGCAAACTAGTTTCTATACGGAACAACTCTCCAACACTGACAGTTTTACAGCAAACTAGTTTCTATAGGGAAGCTTTTACAAAACACTTGAATATAGAACCTCTACCAAAATCCCAGCTGACACAACCGACCGGCCCCAACTAAGCTTAGGCAAGCAAATGTTCAACCAAATCATCTGTAAGTCTATAAAATCATCGTATCTTTTAATCTCGAGGGTTCAAAGGAAACTGGCACACCTTCCATACATGAAAGTTGAAAAAGTCTATTGACCATGTCAAGAATGATGATTAAAGCAGATAGAGAAAAGGTTTTGCCAACAGACAAAAGAGCAATCTACATTGACATAATAAGCAAAAATGTTATCTTAGAACATACGTGAGCTTGACATTCCTCCACCACACATTACTTCTAAAACGACGAGCCTGCTTCCTGAAGCGAAATGTGTTTCCTTGCATATTAGCTGCTTTATCCACCAGCAATTCCAACCTATCACCTCTATCCAAAACCTTGTCAATATTTTCTATCATGACATTCCGTACCTATCAAGAAAAAGAAAATGTAAGCAAAGCCAACCACTAGCACATTCCTGAGTTTGACAAACATGACTATGATTGTGCTTATTATTTGTTTGGTTCTACATTGCCGTAGATTGATTTTGATTAAACTGATTTTAGTTAGAAGTAAATTTAAAGTAAAATGGTTTGTTTGGATTCATTCAAGTGAAAGTGAGGTGAACTATATAAACTTGAGTGTACAATTCAAGTTTTGGGGGCAAAAGTTACAAATACTATAGGCTAAATCAATTATAATTGATACCCACCAATCAAAACAATATCAATTTTAAATCTTAGAATCACTTTTTTTTAATCCATAGACAAAGTGAGTACAAACTCACAAACACATACATGAGTCAGTGTTCAAAACGTGATGTTGAAGTCCAACCTAACAATATCTGTTTTTGCCAGCTGAGTTAAGATTTAACATACTCTTTTAACTTTTCCAAAAGTGAACCCAAACAAAAAAATGGGGTGCCACCGTAATTTAGAGTTTCAACAAAATCACAGTGCTGTGGTGATTTAGCCAAATTCCCGGGTCAATTGAGTTACGAACTTAATTTTGTAACTATAACTGATTTAAATCAAATTAAAGTCAAATTGACCTGTGTGTAAATTCAATCAATCAATTTTCAACTAATCACTTGTAATTGAATCTACGAGATGCATAATCAATTTCAGCAAACAGCAAATTCAAATCCACAAAAAGAAGAACACAATTACCTGAGACATTTCACCTTTGAGCCGATTAATCCTATCCGCATTAGGATCACTAGAGAAATACTCCATTTGCTGACTCAAAACCCTAGAAAACTCATCATTCATTCCATAAGCTTGCGCACTAAGAACCGCGCGTCCATAAGTCCTAACAAACTTCTGATGAATCTCCTCGAGAAACGCAAACGGAATTCTCCTTCCGGCGTTCTCATCCGCCATACAAAGAACGGTAAGTCCGTCGGTCCGTTTAACGTGAAAGATGTAACGATCTTGAGAATAAGATACATGAGTATCGTTGTCGCCGGGAATTTTTTCTAGAATCTGTCTCGCGATTGCGCTTGCGTTTGTGGTGGTTCCGGTGAACTCCGCCAGAACCACCGTACCACGTGCCACCAGTGCGTAGAGAATTCCCATTCTGAGTTTTGAACCGTTGATTTGGGATTCTGGTTACGAAGAGAGAGGTGAATTAACGGTGGATCTATTCAATTCAATTTAATTCAATTCAAATTAACCACTCTATTGTTTTTCCTCTTGTCGTTCATTTATGAATCGGTATGATTCAACGTATGTCGTTTTCTATTTGCCTTTTTCTTTTTGAGATTTTTTGCTTCATTATTGTGTTATCTCTATCTTGTGCTGTGCTGTCTAATTTTTTTAATTAATTTCTTAAATTGTTTTCATATTTATTATTCTAAAAGTCAAATTTTATCTTATGACTTAGGATGTTGAAAATGAAATTACTTCAAGTATATTTTTCTAGTTCAAAATTTGGAGAAAGAATATGACCTCGTGATATTTTTTTTAACAAATGCTTCTATATTTTTAAAAAGTTATTTGAATTTTGATTTATACCAAAAATATATTGTACTGTTCTTTACTGGTTCAAAATTCAGAGAAAGAGAATAATCTCTTTATACTTTTTTTTAATGTGTATGTCAATTAAATTTTTATTTTAATATATGATTTGATATTCTTAAAAAATTCTATGAATTCTAAATTACACCAGAAATATATTCTATCTAATTTTTTATTATATGTCATTTAAAAAAATTATATTAAATTATAAATTATTTTATAATATAATAAAATTATTAATATTATTTTTATTATATTCTCAAATATTTATTATTCTCTCTTTTCTATTTTTAATGTATTTTTCACATATTATTAATAAAAATCAATTTTTTTAAATTGTCATTATATATATATATATATATATATATATATATATATATATATATATATATATATATATATATATATATATATATATATATATATATATATATATATATATATATTGATTAAAAACCATCATTCATCATAAAAGTATTGATTAAAATTTTGAAAAATAAATAAAGATAAAGTTGTTAAGTCTTATAATTTGAAGTCTTAAAGCAAATAATCATGATGGAGATTATCATACATCGTTGGACATACTAACATTGGGAGTTTTCTCACCATGAGAGAAGAGTGAATATGTTTTTAAAAGTCTTTATGATTAGAAGATGCATTAAGATTTTGGACTTTGTTGGGCATATGAACATTGAGAGTTTTTTTAACATGGGTGTCTCAAGTTGTCTTTTTATGTAGGAGTAATTCCCTTAAGAGTAGGAATTTTATCCTGTCAGCCTGGGGTTGGGATCAATTGTGGGTCGACCTTGGCCTTCAGCAGGAGATGTAACGCCCGAGGGCGAGGAGTGGTTGTAACATCCAAGAATAAAGAGGGTTATGAAGTGGTCGCCCAAATTCATATCAGAATGAGAGGATCCTAAAGGTCTGTAGGGTATAATACCGCTTGGTTAAAGGAATACTTATAATGATTGATTGGTATTACCTGTATCAACCAGATGCATCTTCTTTTTGGTATCCTAACAAATAAGAACTCCATAGTAAGGCGTGTTTTACTTGAAGTAGTATTTGGATTTGTGGTCTTCTGGAAAGTTTCCCAAAAAGCATCTGAGTGAGGACAAAGCATGTTGAAAAGACATATGTTGGTGTGTGAAGTCAGCTAGTAATTCTAAAAGTAGAGCTGTCAAAATGAGTTATCCGGCCCTAAACAGATCAGTTTGGCGAGTCTTAGGCTTTTTAGGGATGGTAAAAAAAACATGTTATAATATGAGGTCGAAAATTACTACCTGAGCCCGAGCCTAGATGGGTTTCGGATTACTCGGCCCTAAACGGATTTTTTTTAAATAAAAATAAAAATTTCATAATATTTATTACGAATGAAATTAAAAATTATATTATTTAAATATAATACATTTTTAAGTACTATATTATCTTTTATAAATACTATAATGTGTTTTTAAGTACTATATTATCTTTTATAAATACTATAATGTGCTTTTAAGTACTATATTATCTTTTATAAATATTATAATGTGTTTTTAAAATAATACTAAAATATTTAACATAAAAAAAACTAATAGAATACGAGGAAATAGTGTAAATTATATTAATGTATAAGATTTTAAAAAGTAAGATTGAATAGAATAGAGATAAAATTTAGTGAGGTGAGAAAAATCAATGTATTATTTTGGAGTAAGACAATATAAGTATTAATATATATTTTAAAAATTTATAGCTATGCGGGCCTAATGGACTACTCATGGCCCTTACTGGCCCATGGCCTTTACGGGCTAACCCTAATGGATAGCGGGATTTTTAGGTCCGAGCTAAAAAAAACCCTAAAAAATATGGACTCTAATTTTAAGGCCCGAGCCCTATGATTTTTTGGGCCTAGCAGACCGACCCATATGGGTTAGCCCATTTTGACAGTTGTACCTGAAAGCAATTTGGGCCTTACAAATGGTATCAGAGCAAACATTTTCCAGTATGATGTGGTTCGAAGACGAACCAAGCGGAAGCTAGTAGGCATATAACACCTGAGGCCGAAGAGGGCAGAGAATGGTTGTAACACCCAAGGTCGAAGAGGACGGAGAGTGGTCGCCCAAATTCACGTCGAAATGAGAGGATCCCAAGGTTGTGCATGGATGAGACTACTTGGTTGAATGAATGATTATAAGGATTAATATGTACTACATATATCAAGAAGATGCATTTTTTTCGGTAGCCTAACAAATAAGAACTCCATAGTTAATCGTGCTTGACATGGAGTAGTATTCGGATGAGTGACCTTCTATAAAGTAGCCTATAAAGTATGTGAGTAAGGACAAAACATGTCGAAAAGACTCGTGTTAGTTTGTGGTGTCAGTCGGTAATCCTGAAAGTAGTATGAGGAGTTATAGGAGACTCATTAGCTGAACTTTCAGCAGTCCTTGCAATTGGCTCGAGAGTCCCCACACCTGATTGTCCCGATTGATCGACGACTCTACCATTTCCAGCATCACTTTGTAAATTGTCATATGGTGAAGTGGTTGGCTAAGGCATTGTGTACTTAATGCTTCAGTAATATGCACGACTACATAATGCATCTAGTTATGGTTTAGGGTCTTTAGGATTGGCATCGATAGGCTTCCCAAATGAAGATTTTCGAATTAATGCTTAGTTCAAAAATGAAAAATAAAAAAGAAACAAGTTACCTTGTTGGCGATTGGAAAAGGGCTTGAAGGCGCATTCTCAGCACTCTGAGAGGGTTGTCGGGAGGTTGATACTGATTGTGTGAAAAGACTAGGCCTTGTTGGAATAGGGTTGTCTTGATAACCATCTCTCACTTCATATAAGACACAACAAGGCCTAGTCTTTTCACACAATCAGTAGCAATAAAAGAATGAGTAGCACCAGTATTAATAATAGCAATCAAAGTCATATTATTAATGTAACATATACCTCTGATCAACCTGTTATCACTGGAAGCCTGAGTTCCCGATAGAGCAAACACTCTCCCTCTAGTTGAAGCTTGCTTCGGCTTCTAGAAATTAGTATTAATATATCCCGGTTCACCACAATTGTTGCAAGTCACCATATTATCCTTACAATCAGCAACCAGATGTCCTGTCTTCCTACACTGGAAACACTTCTTCACATCACTCTTGCATTCACTGGCACGATGACCCAACTCACCACACCTAAAGCACTTAAGAGGAGAAAAAGCACCTCCCCCAATTGGCCTCTTACCATTAGTAACTTTCTTCTTACGCTTCTCAGCTGGAACACTATATGGCTTCCCACGATTCATATTCAACTTTCCCTTCTTCTCACTCAGACTCTTATAATGAGTTGACCGAGCTTTATTATCATCTTCATAAATCCTACAACTGATCACCAACTCTGGAAACCCTCAGATCTGTTGATACTCAATCACATGTTTAATCTCAAGATGCAAACCATTCTCAAACTTAATACACTTTGAGAACTAAACAGTTTCCTCACTATAATGAGGATATAACTTTGCAACTTCCACAAATCTAGTAGAATACTCGGTAACAATTAAGTTACGCTACTTCAGCTCCAGAAACTCAGTCTTCTTATTTTTGCAGACATCTTCAGGAAAATACTTCCTCATAAACTCTATGTGAAACATAACCCAAGTGACAACCTCACTTGCAGCTTCCGACACTTGACGAGTGTTGATCCACCAATCATCAACCTCCTGAGCCAGCATATGAGTACTAAACCGTACCTTCTGTTCTTCTAAACAATCCATCACTAGAAAGATTCTCTCAATCTCTTTGAGCTAAGCCTGTGTTCCATCAGGATCATACCTACCCCTGAAAGTAGGAGGATTATTCCTCTGAAACTTCCCTAAATGGCGGAACTCATCGTTCCCCTTAGAATTAGGCTGATTCTGCACAACCTGAGCAACATCCTGCAAAGTAGCAACAGTAGGAGCATCATTCCTTCCAGTCATTTTCTATTTCACACCATTAACAATAACATTGGTTAGAAGACAACACCGATATTATACAGCTGTCACACCACACCAACTCAACAACTTGGCCGGACAAACCGACCTGCTCTATACCACTATGTAACATCCTAAATTCCCCCGTATAATTAATAAATAATTTATCAGAGTAAATTAAAACATAAACATTTAGGATGTTACTTTTCACACAAACCTGCTCAAATAGTCAGATATGTAACACATGCCACATCCAAAAATTATTATTAATAATAATAGTAATATAACACGTCTGGAAATTCAACTTCCATTGTAACGGAAACATCAACAACTTGACAATTTAATTAATCAAAACATGATCATGATTTAACGTAATCATAAGAAAAATCAACTTAGGAGATATACATAAATTCTACAATAAACATAAATAACAATAAGTGTTCCCCTTCTCCAGTGTTACACATCAGAGCAGATGCTGACTCTATAAATAAAAAAGAAGAGCACCCTCTTCCATTCACATCCACGCCTCTACTGCGGATTATCTGCACGATGCCCATGTAAAGGAAACATTCAAACAAAAGGGATGAGACATCATAATTATATAAAGAAATGCATGATAATAAGTAAGCATAAGATTTATTACATGCATAATCACCCATTCCACCAATCACGCTTCCACACAAATCCAAGCACAATAACACAACAAATATGCAATGCAATGAGGCTCAACAGCTTGACTCAATGCATGTGGTACCGAGATGTGAACTCTCAGGTGCAATGCTCCAATATCCACCTTAGGATCAGAGCCCACTAGAAATCGTTACCACCACTATAGATAATGCTTCATCGATTCCCATCTTGAACCGGATACTCACACCTAATCCCCACCGTAGGATTGCTACTTACCAACAACGGACCACCGTCCAACACCATGAATGCATGCAACATATAATATATGCAACCACAACACCATGTACAATGACCTTCGTCTTAGTCAATGTACTACGCCAATAGTGGCTACCATGCACCACACAAATTCTATAACAATTCAACAACAACAACATAGTAATATAGCAAGCAATCAACAATGCATGTACGAATATGTCATACCACAACATAAACACTACTTAGTATTTAACACCATCACACAACAATTTGTTTATTTCCAGGCACTGCAATTATTTTTTAAAACAAAGTTCGTCGCGTCAGCTTTCTAACACTTCGAACAACACCCGAACCAGACACTCGAAACTCAAGATATAATTTTTCAAAGTTTTACAAAAATTGTTCCTAGTGTAACTGGTTACACCAAATGCAGTAACCGGTTATACACCTATAACCACACCCATGATATGCCAGTTTCACTCAGTGTAACCGGTTACACCAATTCAGGTAACCAGTTACACCACCTTCAAATTGCCAAAAAATGCAGTTTTACCACAGTGTAACCGGTTACATGATTTTCGATAACCGATTACACTATAAGCATAATCACTTTTCTGTTGCTTTTCCATACGAAAATAACTTGTTATCCCATCAAAATACCCCATTTTCACACAATTCATTCATCACATTATATTGCACGAAAAATCACTTTTTAAAAGTTTCAAAACCCTAATTCTTTTCATAAAAAGCTCATAACTCGAGTTCCGAATCTGACTCCGACAACCATCAATAACACAACATCTATCATCATGCAATTCCATCAATACATGATTCTAACACCATCAATACACAATTCACCAAGACTCATCAATCACAACATCATCATACAAATTCATAGTTCATCAATCACATTATCCATTCCAACAAACACACAATTGCATCAATGATCAGAACATAGAGAGAAGAGAAAAGCAATTCATACATTGTATGATCCACCCACAATTATCATACAAATCCTTATATAATAGGAACCTCACCCTTACCTTAAATTTTCTTGCAAGGTTCTTCAACAATGGAGTTCTCCTCTTCCCCCTTGAGCCCTAACCTTCTTTTTTCTCTTTTCCCTCAATTTTTCACGATCTATCAGTTTTCTTACAAAAAACCTTTTTTCTCTTATTTTATTATAATAATATTATTATTAATTACTAATTCCAACTAATTAAATTAAATATATATTTAATCACACTATAATAATAATAATGCTTAAAATAATTATTTAATTGTTATTACTACTATTTATTCCTCTTACTCACACACCTTCAATCTCCACACTTTTACTCACACGAGTCACACACCCTCAATGCCTCTAACTCCCTTATTCAAGGCTACTACCCTACACTAATGGTACATCTAACACACCAAAAACACCAATCACACATACAATCACACAATATCACATAATTTAATTACGAAAAATAAATTAAATATACTAGAATGTTACACTATAGATCACATCTTACTGCTCCTCGTTTGCCAGAGCGCGTCATGCAGCAGTTCAACTACCCTCAGACCATTCCCAGACACCTTGTTGTTTATGCTCCTTATACCTTGATATGTAGACATATATAAGACATGTTTGATGATTATGAAAGTCATTTGGTACCGGAGGAGGCACAAGTTACCATAGTTGAGAGCGATTGGAGCTACGTCGAAGGATACATCAGATGGTTCTTCAGGGTGTCACATTCGTACATGGTGCATGATGCTACAGAAGATTCGTCGAGATCATCTTATCAGGAGATACTATAGGAGGAGCAGACACAACTAGATCATACTGATAATGTCTTGCCTATATGTCGTTGCATAAGGAATATTGCATATGAAGACATTGACATAAGTATCTTCCCTGATGGGTCTGGTGTCAGGCGAGTCCTAGATGCCATCATGACTAAGACATATGAGGTATTGTTGTACCGTAGACATCGTCGGAGGACCAATGAAATTGACGACTGAGGAGGTAGACAGAGATATGAGATCAATGAGAGGTTGACAAACACACACAATAATAATCTCTTATTATATAGTTATAGTACTATGGTCTGTAATTTATTTTGACAATCTTACTGCATTATTGATCTTGATTGTATGACATTTTCAACATTTATTGCCATTTTATTTTGATATGACATTTTTGGTCCATCTATAATTATGTATGTATATTTTTTTATTTTTAATTGTAAGATATATTTTAAATCTTCATCTGAACACAGATAAACAACATATAAACTGAAATAACTATTCTAATACGTATTCTAATACGTTTCGGAGATGCATTTCTAAAATATTTTTACAGTTATTCAAAAATTAGTGCGTCTAAAAATGGGTCTCTAAACATTAAAAATATTTAAATAATTTTGCATGTTGGATAAGAAATATTAAAAGTGCATTAAGAAATCCAATAAGAAAAAGGGTGTTAGAAAAAAAAAATCCTCCCAATATCTACTATGCAGACGAAACCCGAACCCAACTCGGAGCCCGACCTCTAACATAATCCATATACATAAAAACTCAACTGAGAAAGTTATTTCGAAGCCATTCCTTCACTTTCTCTTTCTCTTTCTGAGCCTCCGACTACCCCACCGGCGCCAACCATGACGACAATCAGTCTCCGGAAGGGAAACACCCGTCTCCCACCGGAAGTAAACCGCGTCCTCTACGTCCGTAACCTTCCGTTCAACATAACAAGCGAAGAGATGTACGATATATTCGGCAAATACGGCGCAATTCGCCAGATCCGAATCGGAACCAACAAAGACACTCGCGGCACCGCTTTCGTCGTCTACGAGGACATCTACGACGCCAAAACCGCCGTCGATCATCTCTCTGGTTTCAACGTTGCCAATCGTTATCTCATCGTTCTTTATTATCAGCAAGCTAAGATGAGTAAGAAGTTTGATCAGAAGAAGAAGGAAGATGAGATTGCTCGTATGCAAGAGAAGTACGGTGTTTCGACCAAAGAGAAGTAGTTGATGATACGTAAGAACCCTAATCCATTTCGTTTTTGCCTAATTGTTAGGGTTTCTTCGATTGTGTTAGGGTTTTTGTTTACAAATTCACTATGTAGAATTAACAATTGATGTTTGATTTTCTATTGAATAGTGTTATTTATGTATGAAGTTAAATCATGATGTATGATATTGTTACGTTTCTGCTGGATTGTTGAAGTGGCCATTAAAAGATCATTAGGTTTGAAATTTAGGGCTGTTTGGATTGAATTATTTGAGTTATCTACTAACAGAACAAATGAAAGAAACTTATTTTAGTAAGCGCTTAATTGAGTTGTTCATTCGAATGGTACTCAAGTGATTATTCAATTTTTAGAGAAGAAATGTGATGTTTACTGCTTGAGATGTTCATTAACTTAAGTGAACTTGATGTTTATATCTTCTAGGATAATCAGGTAGTTTCATAGATTTGTGTTTTGTAGGAAGATTGCTTGTGACTGATTCAGTTTCTCATGTCTGGAGCATTCAATTAATTTTGGATATGTAAAATTGATTCTGACGTGTTTTTTTGCTCCTGAGTAGAATTGGTTTTGATTTCCAGACTTGATTTTACCTGAAGTTGGAATTTGTGGCTTTTGAGTCTAAACATGATTTTTACACTGAAGTTTACTACTCAACTCACTTTTGCATAAATTTATTCAATCATGAATCACTTTATATTGCACTTTTAGTCAGAATTAATTTTATAGAATCAAATCACTTGAAATCAATTTTCTTCAATGCTGAACCAAACACACACTGAGGAAATTGACAAGGGTGTGAGTTAAACAATCAATTATAAAGGGAACTGGGAATTGTAGCTTTTGAAAATTTAGGGCTGAGTTATCCTTCTTTAGTTTTGAATGCTGATTGGAATATTGTATTTTGCAACCAAAACCTTTACAGTGTTGACAGTAGCTTGCTATAGAGGTATAGCAGAGGGCCCCTGGCCACTATAGGGCATGCAGTAGAGGAACATTTTAATACAGTGTAATCCCTTAAATTTTGGGGTTTCTTGGTTGGGATCCGATATTTTAAGATTTTTGTAATTTAAAGCACTAGATCAGTGTTTGGGTTTCTTCTCTCTCAATCTGTCTCACTTCTGCTCTTTATTTTACAGTCACAGCTGAAAATCCACCGCTGAATGCTGATACGCCGCAGAGTAGATTAGAGGAAAGCTTACATGATGTTTTAGTAATGAATTGTTTCAATTCATTTTAATTTGGCAAGTCAAGCTATTTGTATCGAGTATTAAATGGCACATGGATTTGACAAAGTTAGCTATTTCTATCATGTAATGAATTGTAAATGGTTTATTTCAGAATATATAGGAGATAAAACTAAGTAATTAGACAAAATATCTAAAATATTATGATATATTTCTTATATTCTAACAAGTTTGAATATTGTGATTCATGCATGAATTATCTTTGTTATGCGCCTGAGTGACTCAATAGTGGATACATTGTTTTTGCCGTCATTAAAGAATTGAAAAGTGAAATACCATTGTCAATGAATAGGGGTTGAAGGAGTGTTACTAAAAGCCTCATATGAATTTTTGCTCTGTTTCATTTTTTTTAAGCAAGAACTTCACATACACTACTATTTTGATTCAAATACATAGGAGATTAATAGCAGACAATTAATAAATAAACACCCTTTTGATTTGATTCCTAATTGAACATCAGTTACAATATATAAGACATGTTACTAGGTAAAGAATAAAACAGCCAATCAAGTAATATAATATCTAGCATGTTTATACATTTTTCATAGGTTAGTTAAAAGTTCTTTTTCCCTTCCAATTATTTTGTTTTCACCACCCATTCCTCACCCATAACTATCCAACCAAACAACTACCAAGCTCAACATTCTGTAATTATTATTCTCTCACCAGCATCTGAAATATTCTTTAAAACACACAATGCTGAAAGAGATCATCATCAACATTGAATCTTCTCATGGTATTTTACTAATACAAGGTTGAATCACGCCTCTTCTTGGTATTTGTTTCCGGGTTTCCTTTGCTCATCATAGCAACAAACTCGTCATAGTTAATCCGACCATCCTGCAAAGACATTCAAGACATTCAAATTTCGTCGTAACAAGATGAAATATATATAAGAAAGTCGTTTCTATCAAAAAATAAAAAAGATTTAACTCAATTAGTATTATAAGCCATACATTATCTGCATCAACTTCTGAAATGATTTCCTTTATATCCCTCCCATCATGCATGTTATACTCATGTAGAGCTTGCTCTAGTTCTTCAATGGTAATGTATCTAATCACATAAAAGCAACCAGATTAGAAGATTTAACACCAATTAGTATATATGTTCAATCTAGCCGATTTTGTTTATTTTCCTTTACCCGCTGTTATCTTTATCGAAGTATTGGAATGCAGTATAAACATGTTCTTCTCTGTTCAATCGGTTCATGTGCATCGTTGCTGTGATGAACTCGTCATAATCTATAATTCCATTGCCATCAGCATCTGCCTGTAATTTGCAAAAGAAAAAAATTGTCTTAACTTAAGTAACCATAATAAGTAAGAAGCTGATTTTTGGTAGAAGTAGATAACTTACAGCTTCCATTAATTGCTTAACTTCTTGTTCTGACAGCCTAGTTCCTTGTTTTGCAAGCCCTTGTTTTAGCTCTTCAATCGTAATGGTTCCGCTGTTGTCGGTGTCCATACCCTTAAACATCTGCTTCAATCCCATGATTTCTTCCTCCGATAAGCAGCTAGCAATAACCTTTAGCGCAACTTTCTTGAATTGGTTCATTGCTCTAAACTGTTTGAGTCTATTCAGCACAGCATTGTCAAGAGGTGTATCCGGTGCTTCTCCGTCTTCCTTGATCCATGGATGATCTGTTTTTCGCATAAGTGCTTCGTTAGAATTTCGATTACACCAATTTGATAGTGGAGACGAAAGAAGCTATGCATATACTTACTCAAAACTTCATGTGCTGTTAGCCTCTGCTTAGGATCCGAGTTCAACATTTTCCTTACAAGATCTTTTGCTGGTGGCGAAATGGAAGGCCATGGATCGCTCGAAAAGTCGACATGGCCTTTGAGGATGGCATTGAATATACCATTTTCAGATTCTGTCAAATTATGCAGACGTAAAATCACTTCAAGAGTTAAGCTATTTTGTTCTATCAAGAAGTAGATTAAAATTAAGTGATTATAAACCTGCCCAAAATGGTGGAACACCACATAGAAGAATGTATAACATCACACCAACGCTCCAAATGTCTACTTCTGGTCCGTATTTCCTCTTCAAAACCTCCGGCGCAATGTAATACGCGCTACCGACAATATCTTTAAACACTTCTCCTGTAAAAAAAATACAATTTTTCGTGTTTTAATATTACAATTTGCTTGATTAAAACTTCTAAATTGTAATTCATAATCATGTTTGTGTTTGTGTTTATGTTTATGCAGTTTTAATTTAAAACCTTGCTTGTAAAAGACGGATAAACCGAAATCGGTAGCTTGGAGAGGCGATGTCTCGTCCTTGTTCAACAAAAGGAAATTCTCAGGCTTAAGATCTCTATGTATAACACCCATGGAATGACAAGTATGAACAATCTGAACAATGGTTCTCAACAAGGAAGCCGCAGCGCGTTCGGTGTAATGACCTTTCGCGATGATTCGATCGAAAAGTTCACCTCCCGCGCACAACTCCATAACCAAATGAACAGATTGTTTATCTTCGAAAGCGCCGACAAGTTCGACAATGTTAGGCTGCCCAGTGAGATGATGCATGATTTGAACCTCCCTCCTAACATCTTCAATGTCTTCTTTGTTAACAAGCTTTCTCTTGGCTATTGTTTTGCAAGCATATTGTTTTCCTGTGGTTTTATGTGTGCACAAATGCGTTACACCAAATTGTCCTCTCCCTAGTTCCTTCCCAATGGTATAAGTGCTTTTGACATCTTCCATTGGCCTTCCGAGAACCGGTCCCATCGCGGCCGGTTTCGATGATTTAGAAGGCGGAGAAGGTTTAGAAGACGGCGGCGTTGTAGCAGAATCTCCATTTGCATTTGCATTGTTGTTGTTTTGTTGATCAGTTTCTCCCTTATCCTCAGGATCATCAGTGCCACCTGAGCAACAATTGCCCATGGTGGAAGGGAGAAAAGCTCAGAAGAAAAGGGATGGAAGGAATTTGGGAGGAAGGAAAATAAGTAATGGAAGGAAAAAAAAAACAGGAGGTGAAGGGTCACAAGAATATCATTTTGTAGGGGTGAAGAGAAAAAAGTGAAATAAATTGAGAAAAAAGTGTTACATAAAAATAAAATCTAAAAAAAACTAAAGGGTGATGGATAATAAGATAAGCATAGTTTGTTGATTATGGACAGATTGGAATGATGATGGAAAGAAAAATTAGAGGAAGGTGATAGATTGTAGGAAGTGAGTCATACGTTGGAAGATGTTTATGGTATGTTTTTGTTTAGACAAAGGTTAGGAGGAAATTTCGGACATGAAAAAATAAAAATGGATTTTGGTATATTAACAAGGATTTTGTTAAACATAGTACAAATGAGTTAAGGTTTTGTTTCTATGTTTTAAAAGTTGTTAAGAACATCACATGATGACATGGTTATATTCTTTTCATTGCAAAAATAAAATAAAATGGAAATTTACACATGTATTGCATAGTACTCCCTATGTTTCAAATATCAATTTGTAAAACAATTTCAATCTTTAAATAATAATAGTTAAATTCTCCCAGTCACTATTATAAATAAAATTTTATTTTTTATTTTTTATTTAATATATTTATTAAATTTGTTAAATAATTGATGTATCGCATTTATATATAAATAAAATATATTTTTTATTTAATAAATTTAAAAAATGAATGTTTATTTATAATAATAATAATAATCAAATATATCAGTTATTTGTTAAATTTAAAGTGATTTTTTTATAATAGTGTTCAAAGTAATATTTTTGTTAATTATGGTTTTTAATTTATACCATTAATAATTCTTTCATTTTTTTATATATTTATCATAAAGATAAATATTATATTAAATATATTTAGGTAAAAGTTATTTTTTAATAATTTATATATGCTTTTTAATCTATTATTAGTCAACTAAATATTTTTAAAGTAATAATTAGTCTTAGATGACTATTCTAAAATGATAATAATATGAAACAGTCAAATATTCAAAAAAAATAAAAATGAAACAATCAAATATTTAAAATGTGACAGCTAAGAAAGTATTAACAAAGCCAGCAATAAAAATAACAGTCAAAACTAAGGTTATTTATTGAATTGAAATATATAATATATTGCAGCTTTTCTAAAATATATAACCCTTCATGTTTGCACGTAGTTGTTGTTTGGTAGTCTACGAAGTTTCTGAGTATAATAATAATAACAAATAGTACAAAAGTTGGATGCATGTTGGTTGCATGTTGAATCGGTTAAGAAATTTGATTTTATCTAAATTCAACATATAAAAACGTTAGTTCAGTGAAAATTGCTTTCATTTATAAATATATAAATATTCAAATTATATATATTCTAGATTTGGATGTTGAGATGATAAAAATATTATAATAAATGACTGATCGAATTTTAAATTAAACTTTTGATATTAGGTTTAAAGTGTGATTTAAGTTTAACAAAATTTTATAAAATTGATCGAATTTTAAATTAAACTTTTGATATTAAGTTTAAAGTGTGATTTAAGTCTAACTAACAAAATTTTATAAAATCGATTTATATTGTAATGATTATCCTCTTTTATAAACACAAATTAAATCCATACATTATTTGATGTGAAACTCGAATTTTAAATTAAAATCTATGATGTAGAATTGGGTGAGCGATTACAAGCGATGAATGAAGAACAATGACTCTATTGAGTTCATACTAATAGAGTGTTTTTAATCTCAGTGATAATATATATATATATATATATATATATATATATATATATATATATATATATATATATATATATATATATATATATATATATATATATATATATATATATATATATATATATATATATAGAGAGAGAGAGAGAGAGATAGATAGATAGATAGATAGATAGATAGATAGATAGATAGAAAGAGAGAAAGAGAGAGAGAGAGAGAGTACAATTAGGGTTCAAAACCGAATTTCATCAAGTGTGTTAGCTTCTGCGCAACATCACATTACCCCCTCCCTTCCTTTCATGGAGGGTAAGATACACGTCCATAAGAAGAAAAATCTCACTTAAGTGTATTGTACCTTATAGGGTACTGTATTTCACTTAAGTGCACGATATCTAATGGTATTTCATATTCTACATAAGTTCATCGTACTTTACGGTGTTGTACGATTCACTTTAGTGCACCGTTTCTTACAGTGTTCTGCAATTCTCTTAAGTACACCATATCTTACGGTGTTCCATATTTCATTCTCTCATAAATTTGTCTTTATGTGTATGATTGTTTACTGGTGTTTTTAGTAAACATTGAAGAGTTTTAGTTCACTTGTAGGATCAAACTCAAAAATTCTAAGTGACACTTTGTGTAAAACGTTTGAGAAAATGTAATTATACTGAAAGGATTTCTAATGTGAATAACAAAAGAAACATAGTAAAAATACTTAGATAAACAAAAGCAAGTAAATAATTAAACAAAAACAAAGGAATTAAAATACATGAATCTAAAATGAAATGCAACTTCATACATTTCTCACAAACTCATTATCTCATTGAATCAAATGTAAGAGTTCTAAAGAGGACAAAATGAAATGCTATATTTGACTACAAAGTCGAAATTTACTTATATACTAGGTACACTATCAATTACCAATAACGAATAACTCTTCAAATTTTGACACGTATACTCTTACATGGGCTTTCGTCTTTCGATTTGTTTTCCAGGTGTCCTTGGCACTTGAACCACTTCAAACCGCCATGGTTGCCGAAAATGTATTTAAGTCATTCGACCACATCTGTAAAAAAAGTTAACATATCGAGTATGTGACTTGATGTCGAATATATGACTCGGTCATCTACACTTAGCAATTTTATATATCTTACATCACACATTCATATTGAAATGCCAAGATAAAATTCTTATGCTTACGGATGCCCCCCAAAATGTAATTTTTTGATCATATTCGCAATATGACAGACATATGGTGTTTTAAATCAAACTCATGATACTATTCTAACCATTATGCGTACATCACTACTATGATAACTGCCTCCACTCAACTGTTAGGTCTGTGACGTGCAGGTAACCGCTATTATGGCTTCGATTCTCAAGGCTACTGTGGGTCACAAAAAGAACCACATTAAATAAAGAAAAAAAGTCATTAATTACTAATTATTAAAAATAATAATCAAAACATTAACTTTTAATGTAAGAGGGAAAACTGAAAAGGTTTTATTTCAACACCAATATAACCCTCTCCTACTTGACAATGTTACCTTTTCCAGAACCCTAAAAATAATTCACTTTTTGCAACACATCTTCTCCCTTTTTCTTCAACTCAAACCCCAAAGATGACTTCTTCTTCCAACTTCAGCATTGAAAAGCACTTCCAAGTCCCCTCTGTTGCTGACATTTAGAGTCCTAACTTCTCCGACGGTCACACCTACATTCCATATGTGAAGATAATATTTCAATTTTATCTTATGCTTTGATGAAGGCAAAGAACATAGCTCAACATGCATTATCAAAGAAGGAAAAATCTCAAAGTCTTAATATATCACTTATATCAAAACTCGGTACTCAAGAAACTTTCAAGATTTGACATGGATGGATTGATCATTGAGCATAATGCTCTGTATAACACTTTAGATGCTCATAGCAAATTACATTTTCCATAAATAATCATCCATGCATATTTTGGAAAAGGTTTCTTTGTGATCTAGTATGACCAGAATGGGTCTCCGTGGCCTTCAATGTAGGGCAACAACAATGGTTGTAGGAAAGGAGAAAATGTACCTGTAAGATACTCCGATGCTAAAGTAAGTAACAGAGAGAGAAAAAGGACAAGTATGAAGTGTTTTGGTTTGTGCTAGAATGAATTGGATATCTGACCGTCTCGAATGAAAGGGTATTTATAAGAATTCCCCAACGTGATCTTCAACTAATGGGAGACTGCTAGGTGGAAGATCTAACGCGTGATCTTCAACCTGGTCCAACTGTCCCCATGAACTCCGGAGGGGCAGTTGGTCACGTGAACTGTCAAGCGCATGAGGAGGATGTCCCCAACGACTATATTCTCCCCAACGACTATATTGTGCTTAACAGCTAGATTGTCTTAAAGTTATTCCCTTCCATAATTTTGGACAATTGGCCAAACTAGACAATATGACATTTTGGAAAAAGTTAAAAATGCTAGTGGAAAGCTTTGGTTTATTTTTTAAATTTTCTTATTAAACTCTACACGCATCCATATAAAAAAAAATAATAATAATACCAACCATTTGAAAATGATTTCTTGCTTATGTAAACCATGACATAACCAAACAACTATTCGTTTCTTAAAAACCTCCAATGTAACACTTTCTTCTCCATAAACCTTCTTCTCCATCATACTTCATGTTGTAGTAACCACACAAAAATTTCTCCCACACTTCTAGCACCACTCGTGACACCATCCAAATACTTTGCTGCAACCATACAACAAATCCACCACTTTTACTTCATCAATCTTCTTCATACATACATCAAAAACCTCAAAACTTCAAACTCCATGACATAACCTTCTCACTATGCTATCTCTTTCATCTCAAAAAAACATAAAAACTATGTTACTCATCATCATCTTGTGATTCCAACAAAATAACATAACAACTCAACCCTAACTCACCTACAAACCATCATTCCATCAACTTCACTAAACAACAAATACCACCTTCCTACATAATGAACCACCACCATCATTTTCACCGTGAGTCGTAATCCCTCCGCCACACCACCATCTTTATAAAGCTCTTCTTTCATAACTATCTAACCTCCACAAACAATAACAAGTCACAAATTCCACAATAATAGCTCACAGCCCAATTAACATATGAAGATAACAACGGAGAAACTGAAACAAAGAAACGAAACGTAAGTGAAATGGAACTAAACACGCAGCAACAACAACAATA